AAATATAGATAGATAGATAGATAATAGATATATAGATAGATAGATAATAGATAGATAGATAGATAGATAGATAGATAATAGATAGATAGATTAGATAGATAGATACAGTCAGGTCCATAAATATTGGGACATCGACACAATTCTAACATTTTTGGCTCTATACACCACCACAATGGATTTGAAATGAAACGACAAGATGTGCTTTAACTGCAGACTGTCAGCTTTAATTTGAGGGTATTTACATCCAAATCAGGTGAACGGTGTAGGAATTACAACAGTTTGCATATGTGCTTCCCACTTGTTAGGGACCAAAAGTAATGGGACAATTGGCTTCTCAGCTGTTCAATGGCCAGGTGTGTGTTATTCCCTCATTATCCCAATTACAATGAGCAGGTAAAAGGTCCAGAGTTCATTTCAAGTGTGCTATTTGCATTTGGAATCTCTTGCTGTCAACTCTCAAGATGAGATCCAAAGAGCTGTCACTATGAGTGAAGCAAGCCATCATTAGGCTGAAAAAACAAAACAAACCCATCAGAGAGATAGCAAAAACATTAGGCGTGGCCAAAACAACTGTTTGGAACATTCTTAAAAAGAAGGAACGCACCGGTGAGCTCAGCAACACCAAAAGACCCAGAAGACCATGGAAAAACAACTGTGGTGGATGACCGAAGAATTCTTTCCCTGGTGAAGAAAACACCCTTCACAACAGTTGGCCAGATCAAGAACACTCTCCAGGAGGTAGGTGTATGTGTGTCAAAGTCAACAATCAAGAGAAGACTTCACCAGAGTGAATACAGAGGGTTCACCACAACATGTAAACCATTGGTGAGCCTCAAAAACAGGAAGGCCAGATTAGAGTTTGCCAAACGACATCTAAAAAAGCCTTCACAGTTCTGGAACAACATCCTATGGACAGATGAGACCAAGATCAACTTGTACCAGAGTGATGGGAAGAGAAGAGTATGGAGAAGGAAAGGAACTGCTCATGATCCTAAGCATAGCACCTCATCAGTGAAGCATGGTGGTGGTAGTGTCATGGCGTGGGCATGTATGGCTGCCTATGGAACTGGTTCTCTTGTATTTATTGATGATGTGACTGCTGACAAAAGCAGCAGGATGAATTCTGAAGTGTTTCGGGAATATTATCTGCTCATATTCAGCCAAATGCTTCAAAACTCATTGGACGCCACTTCACAGTGCAGATGGACAATGACCCAAAGCATACTGCAAAAGCAACCAAAGAGTTGTTTAAGGGAAAGAAGTGGAATGTTATGCAATGGCCAAGTCAATCACCTGACCTGAATCCTATTGAGCATGCATTTCACTTGCTGAAGACAAAACTGAAGGGACAAAACCCCAAGAACAAGCAGGAACTGAAGACAGTTGCAGTAGAGGCCTGGCAGAGCATCACCAGGGATGAAACCCAGCGTCTGGTGATGTCTATGCGTTACAGACTTCAGGCTGTAATTGACTGCAAAGGATTTGCAACTAAGTATTAAAAAGTGAAAGTTTGATTTATGATTATTATTCTGTCCCATTACTTTTGGTCCCTTAACAAGTGGGAGGCACATATGCAAACTGTTGTAATTCCTACACCGTTCACCTGATTTGGATGTAAATACCCTCAAATTAAAGCTGACAGTTTGCAGTTAAAGGACATCTTGTTCGTTTCATTTCAAATCCATTGTGGTGGTGTATAGAGCCAAAAATGTTAGAATTGTGTCGATGTCCCAATATTTATGGACCTGACTGTAGATAGATAGATAGATAGATAGATGATAGATAGATAGATAGATAGATAGATAGATAGATAGATAGATAGATAGATAGATAATAGATAGATGGATAGATTAGATAGATAGATAGATTAGATAGATAGATTAGATAGATAGAGATTAGATAGATAAATTAGATAGATAGATAGATAGATAGATAGATAGATAGATAGATAGATAGATTAGATAGATAGATAGATAGATAAATTAGATAGATAGATAGATAGATAGATAGATAGATAGATAGATAGATAGATTAGATAGATAATAGATAGATAGATAGATAGATAGATAGATAGATAGATAGATAGATAGATAGATAGATTAGATAAGATAGATAGATAGATAGATAGATAGATAGATAGATAGATAGATAGATAGAAAATATAGATAGATAGATAGATAGATAGGATAGATAAGATAGATAGAAAATATAGATAGATAGATAGATAGATAGATAGATAGATAGATAGATAGATAGATAGATAGAGAGATAAGATCGATAGATAGATAGATAGATAGATAGATAGATAGATAGATAGATAGATAGATAGATAGAAATACTGTAGATAGATAGAGTTTCTTCCAAATGTTTTACCTTAAGTTCAGGCAGCAGTTTAAATGGGCGATACACGTTTCTCTGTAGAAGTGCTGGGTCTTGTTTTTCTCCATATAAAATATATATTCTTCAAAAAGTGTTTGGTATCTGAAAAGTGAGAGAACATATCCGCATGTCTCATAAATCCCAAAAACAGGGTTTTTTTTCCTCATTATAGGATAGTGGGTGTGCCATTCATATTATTTCTTTCTGCTCCTCGGCCAACTGTCTATCCCAAAGGTCTCCAAACTGCAGCCCGAGGACCAGATGTGGCCCTTTGCAAGTCTTTATCAGGCTCTTGGGGCACTATTCCTCCCAAAGATATGAGGCACTTTTCCTCCCACTGACACCAACAACGGAACACTATTTCTTCCACTGATACCAATGATGGAATTCTATTCCTCCTACAAATACCAGTGATGGGGCATTACTCCTCCTCCCACAACTGACCACCAACCCTGAAGTCATGTTTATTTTCAGCAATGCTGGGCCTGGGGCATTTTCTACTCCCCAATGACCACAATCTGTCCCTCCTAAAGTCTGAACAACAGTAAACTGGCCCATTATTTGAAAAGTTTGAAGACCCCTGGTCTATCCAAAAGTCCAATGGATTATAACACACATACAGTCTAAAATTATGAGCCATTTATTCCAACTGCATTTAGACTTTGTTGGCCATCATCAGTGGAGTGCTTCTATGGAGTAGATGTTGGAAGGCAACAAGGCAGTGTAACCAGTCAAGTTACGGTGAGATGAGCCAAAAGGAACCACAAAAAAAGGTCTCCACTAAACCAGCACAAGCATTTTAAAAGAAGGTTTCCAGTTGTTTAATTGGACAGTCGACTAGCCAAAGAGGAGTAAGAAATGAATTGTGTGACAGTAGTGATTTTGGGTGGGGGGGCCCATGGAACACAGCTCAATTTGGAGACCCCTATCTCAGCTCCCCATATCCCTCTTATGTGTAAGTAACCCTTTACCTGTTAGGGGTGCAGGGTGAAATGTCCTGATATTGTGTAGACATGTATAGGTGGGGTGAGGGTTGTTCATTGTTTAATGCCTTGTGGTTGTATTCCACTGTTCTATTGTGTTTCTTGCTTGGGAGCAAACTATTATGGGATGTATGTGTTTGTGTATTGGCTTGGTGGGGGGTGTTTCCGGAAGACCTTCCCCCTGATGGGTATGCTGATGTGTTTCTTGTTGCTAGATTTGGCTTGCCCTGCCCTGTGACCTTATGCATGGAGGTGGGTTGTTCCTTTGAATGTATATATGTTGTACCTGTGTAAAATAAAGCAGTCTATTTCCTAATTTATTTCAAGACTGGTCGCATCTAGTCTCGTATGACCAGCGGTGGTGTCCGTGGATCTGTGTTTAGACAGGGAAGCGGGAGTCTAACGGAAATACCCTAGTGCAGTCGGGGTCTGGTTCCCTTACAATTTGCATAGCTCCACCACTATCCTAAACTGAAGAGACTATCAGCGATTCGTTTGGTCCATCTCACCATAGCCTGACTGATTATACTTTCCTTTTGTGTTTATTATTGGAGATGCGCACACCAGAAATTTTTGTTCTGTTTCAGATGCATTTGTCCATTGAAAATTTTTGTTTCGCCATATATGTTAAACCGATTCATTTGTGGAATTCACTGTGTATCTTAACATTCATTTCATATATTCATTGGTCTGGGTGGATTCTAAAAATTTTGCAGTTTTTCTGGAAGATTATATGATATATTATTGAATTGGATGGATTTGAATCAGAAGGATTTGATATTTTTGGATGCTAGTCCAACCCACCAAGAGAAATGGCACGAGCTGACTGGAAATTATCAACTGGCGTCATGTGCATCCGAATGAACAAATGGAACAATATTCGGATCCATTTATTATCCAAATCCAAATTATCGAACAAATGAAAACATTTTATTAACTTCCTCATGGACCCGAACTACTATCGCAGCATGTGACAATCATCCAAATGAAACAAATGCATTTATTAATTTTGTGTTATAACTTCTTTCAGATTCATTGATATTCGTTACTATGTCTATTCAGAGATTCATATACTGTACATCTGAAAGTCCGAAAATGACATTTTCCTACGAAAATCAAATTGTAACGAAATGAAACACACATGTCTAATTATTATTCAAAAGAAACAAAATACACTGAATGACAGATTTTGGTTTGGAAGTATCAACTTCTTATTTTGTGCTTCTCTGAGATCTAATAAATGATTAAATACATCTGAAATGATTTACCTTAATAGAAGTTCATGCAGATTAACATGCAAGACTTCGGCTAGCTTGCCTTCCAGTTCTGGTCTGATTTCAGCCGCCTTCTTTAAACTAGCAACGTAACACTGGAAGTACAAAGGGTTAATTGAATGATTATAGCTATATTAGAAGCCTGGAAGAAGATGGGGAAGGGAGGGGGCGGACATTAAACTACCCAACCAAAACTGAAATATTACTTTTGGGTGGAATTGGGCTTTATTTAGTCACATTAATAACACCAGCAATTTATAACATTCACCTGAATGATGTCAATTTGTAGCTCAGAATGATAATAAAGTCCTAACATCTTTGGTTCCTTCTCATTTTTCCAAAGTTCCCCTTCAAAGTTTAATGCTTTATTCATGTGGTCACTAAAGGAATCCTTAAGAAAAGAAAAACATTGTAAAATATATATATATAATTGCTAAGGTAAACGTAGATGATACAAATTGCATTTTAGATATCAATATTTAAGATATTAAGGATATGATCTCCACGTATAATACATAAGGGGGGATATGATCTCCATGTATAATACATAAGGGGGATATGATCTCCATGTATAATACATAAGGGGGGATATGATCTCCATGTATAATACATAAGGGAGGATATTATCTCCATGTATAATACATAAGGGGGATATGATCTCCATGTATAATACATAAGGGGGGATATGATCACCATGTATAATACATAAGGGGGATATGATCTCCATGTATAATACATAAGGGGGGGGGGATATGATCACCGTGTATAATACATAAGGGGGATATGATCTCCATGTATAATACATAAGGGGGGATATGATCTCCATGTATAATACATAAGGGGGGGATATGATCTCCATGTATAATACATAAGGGGGGGATATGATCTCCATGTATAATACATAAGGGGGGATATGATCTCCATGTATAATACATAAGGGGGGATATGATCTCCATGTATAATACATAAGGGGGGATATGATCCCCATGTATAATACATAAGGGGGGGGGATATGATCACCATGTATAATACATAAGGGGGGATATGATCTCCATGTATAATACATAAGGGGGGATATGATCTCCATGTATAATACATAAGGGAGGATATGATCACCATGTATAATACATAAGGGGGGATATGATCTCCATGTATAATAAATAAGGGGGGGATATGATCACCGTGTATAATACATAAGGGGGATATGATCTCCATGTATAATACATAAGGGGGGATATGATCTCCATGTATAATACATAAGGGGGGGATATGATCTCCATGTATAATACATAAGGGGGGATATGATCTCCATGTATAATACATAAGGGGGAATATGATCTCCATGTATAATACATAAGGGGGGATATGATCTCCATGTATAATACATAAGGGGGTATGATCTCCATGTATAATACATAAGGGGGATATGATCTCCATGTATAATACATAAAGGGGGATATGATCTCCATGTATAATACATAAGGGGGGATATGATCTCCATGTATAATACATAAGGGGGGATATGATCCCCATGTATAATACATAAGGGGGGATATGATCTCCATGTATAATACATAAGGGGGGATATGATCTCCATGTATAATACATAAGGGGGGATATGATCACCATGTATAATACATAAGGGGGATATGATCTCCATGTATAATACATAAGGGGGATATGATCTCCATGTATAATACATAAGGGGGGATATGATCACCATGTATAATACATAAGGGGGGGGTATGATCTCCATGTATAATACATAAGGGGGGGATATGATCTCCATGTATAATACATAAGGGGGGATATGATCTCCATGTATAATACATAAGGGGGGATATGATCTCCATGTATAATACATAAGGGGGATATGATGTCCATGTATAATACATAAGGGGGGATATGATCTCCATGTATAATACATAAGGGGGGATATGATCTCCATGTATAATACATAAGGGGGGATATGATCATCATGTATAATACATAAGGGGGGATATGATCTCCATGTATAATACATAAGGGGGATATGATCTCCATGTATAATACATAAGGGGGGATATGATCACCATGTATAATACGTAAGGGGGGATATGATCTCCATGTATAATACATAAGGGGGATATGATCTCCATGTATAATACATAAGGGGGGATATGATCTCCATGTATAATACATAAGGGGGGATATGATCTCCACGTATAATACATAAGGGGGGATATGATCTCCACGTATAATACATAAGGGGGGATATGATCTCCACGTATAATACATAAGGGGGGATATGATCTCCACGTATAATACATAAGGGGGATATGATCACCATGTATAATACATAAGGGGGGATATGATCTCCATGTATAATACATAAGGGGGGATATGATCTCCATGTATAATACATAAGGGAGGATATGATCTCCATGTATAATACATAAGGGGGGATATAATCACCATGTATAATACATAAGGGGGGATATGATCAATATGAATAATACATAAGGGGGGATATGATCTCCATGTATAATACATAAGGGGGGATATGATCTCCATGTATAATACATAAGGGGGGATATTATCTCCATGTATAATACATAAGGGGGATATGATCTCCATGTATAATACATAAGGGGGGATATGATCTCCATGTATAATACATAAGGGGGATATGATCTCCATGTATAATACATAAGGGGGGATATTATCTCCATGTATAATACATAAGGGGGATATGATCTTCATGTATAATACATAAAGGGGGATATTATCTCCATGTATAATACATAGGGGGGATATGATCACCATGTATAATACAATATTATTATTATTACATAGAGTTTATATAGCGCCAAAGGGTTTGCTCAGCGCTGTACAATAGAGGGGGGGGGACAATACATGAAACAGGACAGCAACTACAGACAGCACACGAGGGGTTAAAGGGCCCTACTCTTTTGAGCTTACAATCTAGAAGGGAGGGGGTAGTGGTACAGGAGGAAATGGCTGTGGGGGATGGAGTGGTAGGAGGAATGAAGGAGAACGGCTGTTAGGTGAGGGTGGGGTAGGCTTCCCTGAAGAGGTGGGTTTTCAGGGAGCGCCTGAAGGTGAGGAGGGAAGGTGACAGTCTGATGGATTGGGGTAGTGAGTTCCAGAGGATGGGGGAGGACCTGGAGAAGTCTTGCAGTCAGACTGTCACCTTCCCTCCTTACCTTTAGGCGCACCCTGAAAACCTATCTCTTCAGAGAAGCCTACCCCACCCTCACCTAATTGCTGATCTCCTCCGCTCTTTCCACCACTCCATCCCCCACAGCTATTTCCTCCCGTACCACTATCCCCTCCCTCCTAGATTGTAAGCTCCAAGGAGCAGGGCCCTCGAACCCCTCGTGTATTGTATTGTATTGTTACTGTACTGTCGCGTGTACTGTCCTATTATAATGTACAGCGCTGAGCAAACCGTTGGTGCTATATAAATTCTGTATAATAATAATATATATATATATAAGCCAACATGAGGATGAAATCACACAAAAGCTGTATGCCTTTACAACTGCAGGGGAATGGTTGGGGGTGGTAGAAACACAGCTCTACTGCATATTTACCTTCCCTAACCGAGTGCCAATGAGGCATTATTCAGTATACGTACTCCAAATTTCTGCAAAAATTGGCTTTAGGAATCTGTTTGAGTGAGTCACTTACCCTTTCAGTACGCACAAAATTGTTCTGAAGTAATCGGACAGCTTCATGAGATAGAAGACATTCCAGCCGTGAGTCATCAGTGTGTCCGGATAGTTTTGGGTTTTTCAAGATTTCACTAAAACAAAAGGATGATTCATTATTTTGTAAAACCACACTTTTGAAATGGTATTCTTGCTCAGCAACCCCCAATATTTTTAAATGCAAGCAGTATTGATTATACTTGGGCATGTATGCAACACAAAAGTATCTAATCTTTTGCTAATCTTTCCTTACATTAAGAGCATAATCAGGGCTTTTTTTCAGCAGGAACATGGCACCTCCCAGCACTGAATGTATGTATTGGCAAGGGGTGCTGGGGTGTGTTGGAAGGTCTATTGATGCTGGCTGTGGGGGGGATCTATTCTTACTGGAGGTGATCTATTTGTGCATGGTGGTCTGTTGCTGCTATTAAGGTCTGTTGTTACTGGTGGGGATCTATTGTTGCTGGAAGGGATCTACTGTGGAGGTAGGGGTCTGTTGTTGCTGTCTGCTGGAGAGTCTATTGATGCTGACTGCTGAGAGATCTGTTGTTGCTGCTGGAGATCTCCCCAAGAATAGTGCTGCGCTGCCCTCTAGTGAACCAAAAAATACACTAGTAATAAACACCCTCCTGAGCATCAAACCCCAGGTGTAACAGAATAAATCTGTGAAACAAATAAAGTCAATAGTAAATAAAAGTAAAAAACTGGCTGAGCACTAAATCCAACTGATATGTGAAATATATAAAAAAAAAATCAAGTAGCAATAAACACCTGGCCAACCTATAATAAACTTTATCTAGCCCAGTTTAACATTTACTTGACTCAACACATATTTATTCCACTGGGGGGGGGCTGATTGCTCAGTCGGGCATTTGTTTTACAATCATTTATTACTGTTTTTGTTGATTTTCACACTTTATGCTTCGGTGCTTCAGGTCAGCCGGGTGTTTATTACAGCTTGGCCAGGAGTTTACTGTTATTGTGATCCTGTTTTATTTCTGATATACGTTTCACATATTTTACTGTTTTTGTGTTGTTTTTTTACACTTTATTCTTCAGCTCAGCCAGCTATTTAATATAGGTTGGCCAGATGTTTATTGCTACTTTGATTTTGGTTTATTTTTTTATATATGTTTCACATGTCATTTGAATTTAGCGACTCAGCCAGTTTTTTTGTTTTTTATTTACTACTGAATTTATTTGTTTCACAGATTTATTCTATTACACATTGGGTTTAATGCTCAATAGGGTGTTTATTTATTATTAGTGCATTTTTTGGTACACTAGAGGGCAGCGCAGCACTATTCTTGGGGCGTTTTATTGATGTGGGAACACATTTAGGTGATTGCAGCAGCTTTCGTTTATTTGTGGCAGCACATGAGTATTATATCCTTATTATTGCTGATGGAGATCGACTGTTGCTAGGATGGTATTTTGTTGCAGGGGTCCATTGTTGCTGAGGGAATCTATTGTTGCTAGGGGGTCTCCTGCTGCTGGCTGCAGGGGGATCTATTTTACTGCTTTTCTTGTTATGATTAACAAATCCCATACCAATTACGTAGCAACACAAAATAATACATGGCTCTGTGTTTTCTAAAAGGAACAGTACTGGGAGGTGGGTAGGGGGGTAGAACCAAGGCAGGGTACTGGCAGGTGGGTAGGGGATCAGAAACAAGAAGTAACTCAGAAGGGGAAGTTCCTGCACCTATCCTCTGAGGAAAAAAAGCCTTGAGCATAACAAATAATCTATAAAGTTTTGTATGCATGTCATATTATGTAAAATATTTGCTTGACAACTTAATGCATTGTACAGAAAGTTTTACAAAGAATCAAAGTTCAAAAGAAATGTGCATCAGTGAAAGGCTACGTTTACACTAGTGGTTGGAGGAGGGGCAGTGAAAACAAGTCGCATTTGAGAAAATGTACCATTTTAAGAAACAAAATTAGGAAATGTTGAAATTGATGGCAGCAACACATCTTAAAAAAGTTGGAACACGGCAACAAAAGGCTGTCAGAGGAAGTGGTACTAACAAGGACAAGCTAGAAGAACATTTGCAACTAAGTAGGTTAATTAGCAATAGGTCAGTAACATGATTGGGTATAAAACGAGCATCTTGGAGAGTCAGAGTGTCTCAGAATTAAAGATGGGCAGAGGTTTACGAATCTGAAAAGTTGCGTTTAAAATTTGTTGAACGATTTCAGAATAATGTTCCTCAATGTAAAATGTAAAGATTTTAAATATGTCATCAACTACAGTACATAATATCATCAAAAGATTCCCAGAATCTGGAGAAATTTCTGTGCGCAAGGGACAAAGCCAAAATACAATATTGGATGTCCGTGATCTTTGGGCCCTCAGACGGCACTGCATTAAAAACAGGCATAATTCTGTGATGGACATTCCTGCATGGGCTCAGGAATACTTCCAGAAGTCACTGTCTGTGAACACAGTTTGCTGTGCCATCCAAAAATGCAAAGTAAAGCTCTATCATACAAAGAAGAAGTCATATCTGAACATAATCCAGAAACACCACTGACTTCTCTGGGCCAAGCCTCATTTAAAATGGTCTGTTACAAAGTGGAAAACTGTTCTGTGGTCAGACGAATCGAAATGTGACATTCTTTTTGGCAACCATGGGCTCCATATCCATATCGACTAAAAAGGAGAGGCACCTTCTGGCTTGTTATCAGCGCTCAGTTCAAAAGCCTTCATCTCTGATGGTATGGGGGTGCATTAGTGTGTATGGAATGGGCAGCTTACACATCTGGAAAGGCACCATTAATGCTAAGCAATATATCCAGGTTTTAGAGCAGCATATGCTCCCATCCAGACAACATTGTTTTCAGGGAAGACATTGTGTATTTTAGCAGAACAAAGCTAAACCGCATACTGCATCTATAACAACAGCATGGCTTCATAGTAGAAGAGTCCTGGTGCTGAACTGGCTTGCCTGCAGTCCAGACCTTTCACCAAGTAAAAGTATTTGCTGCATCTTGAAACAAAAAAAAATACTACAAAGAAGACTTAGGACTGAGCAGTGAGAATCCTATATCAGGCAAGAATGGGACAAAATTCCTCTCCCAAGACTCCAGCAACTGGTCTACACGTGTGTTTAGCGTGCTGCTAAAAGAAGAGGGGATGCTACAACATGGTAAACATGGCCCTGTCCCACCTTTTTTGAGACGTGTTGCTACCATCAATTTTAAAATGACCTTATTTTTTTTTCTTAAAATTATATTTTCGATTTGTTTTTTAATAAAATGTGGGTTTATGAGATTTGCAAACCATTGTGTGATGGGAGTCACTTTGGGTGGGGGGCCCATGGAACCCAGCTCACTTTGGAGAGGTGTGGAGACCCCTATCTCAGCTCCCCATATCCCTATTATGTGTAAGTCACCCTGTGTCTGTTAGGGGTACAGGGTGATCTGTCCTAATATTGTGTAGACATGTATAGGTGGGGTGAGGGTTGTGGATTGTTTAATGCCATGTGGCTGCATCCCATTGTTCTATTGTCTGTCTGGTTTGGGAGCAAACTATTATGGGATTTATGTGTTTATGTGTTTTAGTTTAGTGGGGGGGGGGTCTCCAGCAGCCCTCCCTCCTGATGGGACTGTCTGCTGGTGTGAAGTTTGTATACCTGTGTGTCTCTTGTTACTAAATGTAGATTGCCCCTCCCTGTGTCATTATGCAGGGAGGGGTGACTGTCCCTCGAGTGTATATATCTTGTATCTGTGTTGAAATAAACTAGTTTTACCTTCTGGATTACTTCAAGACTGGTGTTGTCTAGTCTTGTATGGTCAACTGTGGTGCCTGTTGTTGGTGTTCGGACGGGGAAGTGGTAGTCTAACGGAAATACCCAAGTGCATTCTGGGGTCGGTTCCGTTACACATTGCATTCTGTTTTTATGTATGTTTATTTTGCACAGCGTCCCAACTTTTTTGGAATTGGGGTTGTATTACTTTCAACCTTCTCTAGTGTTTGATGCTAATTTCTCATGTTATAAACAGTGTGTTAAAAATATATATTATTATATACAGTATAACACATGAATCCACTTACTTCGGATAGAGGTTCTGCACCCAGCACAGAACTGCATAGTTGTCCTTCTCACATAGTTCAAACTGTGTGATCTCTTCTGTCCTCGTCTTTATATGCCGGTGATAATGTTGGGCATAAGTGTTACAGACATCAAAGTTCTCTGGGTAGCATGCTTTCAGATGTGTCACCACGTGGATGAGGTCGTCCCTGAACAGCTTTCCTATACCAATGATAGGGGAGATGATGGAGGGAGGCCCGTTCAATTTCTCCTCCTGGGGTAGCTTATTGATGCGCTCCTCCACAGTCTGCTGGATGCACTCCTTCCATGTCTGCATCCATGACCTGTCATCATTTTTCAAGTCTGGGATGAAGGTTAAATCTTCTGATTCCTGTTCTACTATGGTCTGTATAGCCTGTTGCAGCAATTCCTGGTCCATACTGGTGATGGACTCCTTGATCACTCGAAATACTTCAGCCTTGAGTTTCTGATATAGGGGTTCAAGCTCCTCCATGTGCAATGTTGGCTCTTCCAATCCACTGACAACCTTGTGTCCTAACTCAATCAAGCCTTTGCTGGCATACTCGTAATGCTGCTCCTCTATCAGCTTCTGTACATCTTCAACTACAAATCAAGAGTACCAAGAGTATTAAAGTAGATCTACGATTAGAGTCCTGACATCTCACGCCTATTTCCCTCTTTATCGTCCTGTATCCCTGGATGTTATTAATTGTCACTGGTTTGGGCTTGGAAATGCCTTAAAATACCTGTCTCTTACAGAAATGATGCTTTCTGCCCTCACACTGCAGTGAACTGTGCTGGCAGAGCAGAGTAACAGCCACACCCCTCATCACAAATGAACTCACCTGGACTTGTTTTGTAAAAAAAAAGGGGAGGCTGTGTTTTTGGTCTTTTACTGAGAGTGGTTACTGCATGGGGGGGAGTGTGTGAGGGGGAGTGCTGACTTTTCACTGCGCTGGGTATAAGGCAGGCCATAGATTATTATTATCATTATTATTATTATACAGTATTTATAAAGCGCCAATAGTTCGCTCAGCGCTGTACATTACAAAGGGGGGACAGAACATGTGACAGAACAATACCAATACAATGCAAAACATGAGGGGATTGAGGGCCCTGCTCTTTCGAGCTTACAATCTAGAAGGGAGGGGATGGTGGCACAGGAGGAGATAGCTGTGGGGGATGGAGTGGTAGGAAGAGTGGAGGAGGTCGGCAAGTTAGCAGGGGGTGGGGTAGGCTTCCCTGAAGAGATGGGTTTTCAGGGTGCGCCTAAAGGAGAGGAGAGTAGGTGATAATCTGATGGGTTGGGGCAGGGAGTTCCAGAGGATGGATGACACCCTGGAGAAGTCCTGGAGGCGGGCATGGGAGGAGACCAGGGAACTAGAGAGAAGGAGGTCTTGTGAGGAGCGGAGTGTGCGTGCTGGGCGGTACTTGGATATTAGGTCGGCGATGTAGTTCGGGGCAGTATGGTGGACAGCTTTGTACGGTAGTGTTAGGATTTTGAATTTGATCCGTTGCGCAATCGGAAGCCAGTGGAGGGATTGGCAGAGGGGGGTGGCGGAAACGGAGCGGTTGGAAAGGTGAATGAGTCTGGCAGCCGTATTCAGGATCGACTGAAGTGGGGATAGCCAGCGGTGAGGCAGGCCAGTGAGGAGGGAGTTGCAGTAGTCGAGTCGTGATATGATGAGGGAGTGGATGAGCTGTTTAGTGGTTTCTGGGGTTAGGAACGTGTGGATTTTGGCGATGTTGCGGAGGTGGAGTCTGCATGAGTTAGTTAAAGATTGGACTTGGGGCTGGAAGGATAGGTTGGAGTCCAGAATGACACCAAGTACTCTGGCCTGCGGGGCGGGTTTGATGGTGGCGTTGTTGGATGTGACGGAGAAGTCAGTGGGGGGGTGGTGTCCGGGCTGGGGGGAAGACAAGAAACTCGGTTTTGGAGAGGTTCAGTTTAAGGAAGTGGAGCGACATCCAGTCTGATATGTCGCTCACTATTATGCGATTTTCTCTCCTGCAATTGCTCGATTCCACCAATAACACAGTCACGGTTGATGGGGGAATCCTTTCTGTGGAGTTATTGTGTTCTTATGGTAGGAAGGGGTGGGAGTAATGCAAGGGGCCATCTCTGCTAGGAGAACACAGTTATTATTGATCGCGGCTATAACCGCTGGCAATAATTGCAGGTACAAATCCAACATGCTATCGATCCACTTGGGTACAATCAGCCTGCCCATAGATGGTTCGAATCTTGGCTGGTCCTTCCTGAACCAGCTGATATTTGAACCATCTATAGCCAGCTTCAGTCCCGGGACAAGGTCATCCAGCGCCTGGGGCAAAGATGCCAAACTGCGTCCCTCCCCATTCATGATGTGCAAGCTTAGGAGATCCTACGCCCAGCAGTCCCTCGCTTGTGAAAATCACTGCTGCTGCCTTGTAACAGAAGGAAGGCGCCCCCATCCCTGCAGTAAACTATTGCACCCAGGGCAGCCGCCCCTCCTGGCCAACCGGCTTAATTCTGGCAACCATTAACCTCTTGCCAGGGAGGGTGGGCCTCATAGTGGAATTCTAGGTACCACCCAACTAATCTTAGAAATCTCCCCTTCTCCCCTCTGAACACCTATTCTCATTAACCAGTGTAAGAAAAATCTGTATATTCCGCTCCGGTCACATGATCTCCTTGTGTCAGCCAGTGGCAGATGCAGGGGAGAAGAGAGAAAGTTCCAAGAATGACTAGTAAGGCTTGGAGTGGTGATGTCACCTATAGGGTTCAACGACCCATCCATTGTTGGTGTTCCCTGCTCTCCCCCTGCATCCGTGGTGGCGGACACAGTGGGTGCCGAATCACAGTACCGGATTGGAGCGGGCTGACAATAGGAAAAAACACAGATCGTTCCTACCCAGAGGATCCAACCCTCCCCCATTTTACCCAAGTCAAAAGTATTTTGGCTGGAGTCCCATTTTAACTCTCACATGTTCTGTATGTTACCATCATAGCAGACATCTTACTTGTTATCTCTTGCTTTTCCTTTTCCGGATGTTCGTGGCTTTGCGCTGGCCATATTGGTGAGATTAATTTCCCTAAGACTTTTTTATACCAATTTTTCTTTTTCCCGTTGTTGGTCTCATCCACCGGGTTGTCCTCAAGTGTGACTGGAGCCCCTGCGGCCATCTTAATTCTTATTCTCTTCATATAGAGCGGAGCAAAACTGAAAATATGAACAAAAAGATACCAAAATCATATATTTTATGCTGTAAATATAGAAATGTCTTCATCTGTGGGGTAAATCTGCTGTTGGGTGTTAAAATTAACCAAATATTTTTTGGTAGGGTAAATACGAAATATTACATATTACATAGTGATACTGAATATTTTGTATTCTCATTTCCAGACAGTAGATGGAACTCTAAGCTTCAATTATTGACTTTCCTGATTCTCTGTTTATTGTATTCTTTTTGTTGGTCATGTCCCGTTAGCCCTGATGAAGGGGGACTGTTATAATTGAAACGGGTTGGCTTGTCTTTTTAATTTTTTTTCATGGTGAAACAAATCTTCATAGACTCACAACCATTGGTCTGGCCCCTTTCCCTGTATCCCGTGAACCTTTAAACACGTCTAATTTCATCACGGCTAGCCACAATACTTATAACCCCACGGCTAGGACGTGTCACATGACCAGTTATTGCAAGTGCTCCATGCACTTTTCATTTGGAAAAGTCCAGGAAAAGAGAAATGTGAGGTGCTGGACTAAACTTTCACCTGTCAAATTAAGGGTGGTGTTGGGACATGATAAGGATGAACTGGGCAGCTCTACAACAAGGTTGGGGGCCTCCAAGAGACAGGGGCCACCCAATGGAGAAATCCAGGTAAAAATTTAAAACAGAACACCAAACATCCATCTTCAGAGTTCATAATTCTTTATTGCTAGTGATGCTTTGATAACAGGAACACAAGTGGTCTCCAACGTGTTTCGAGGGCCAAAAGGTCCTTCATCAGGTCTGATCCTAACACCAGCAACTTTACTATATGCCCATTGAGACAGCTTCATTTTTTGCTACGACGTGAGTTTTCTTAAAGTGGTTGTAAACCCTTACATATACCCAGTGAAGTGATTGCTATCAGGTGATACACAGAAAAGGAAAAAATTCTCCTACATAAGTTGCACCTGTTTATCTGCAGTCTTCTCTCCTCTACATCCAGTCAAAGTGCTGAATTTCTATAGCTTGTTTAGAAAAAAGAGATGGAGGGTTGAAATTAGATACTGCAGAGTTCAGTGAGGAGAACTCTAACCCCCTGTTCACATATATGCGGCCGTGCAGGCATGGGCATGAGAGCCCATTCATTTGAAGGAGGAATGATGTTGTCCCCGAAACGTGTTGGCTGTTTTTATATCAGGGTTTTTTTTTTTTTTTACCAACATTTACATTTTTCCTGGACTCTTTCATCTGGTCTTGGTCTGGTGCTCCTTTCTATATTTCACTAGTTTGAGCTACTGTTGGGTGCCTATTGAGGGAAGCCTCCCACTGCGGAGAGGAAAAGAGTCTGGAATTATGGGAGGGAGATCTCATTGCTGGAGCATCCAGAATTTAGAGGACCTAGCCCATCAGGCTCCGCCTAAACCTAATATACCACTTTTAGGTGGAGTGATCCTTTAAGAACAATATAGTATTCAGTCAAAATATGTGCAAAATACACCATAGATGCCCTAAAACTATGCAACATCAGTAAGTGGTAATTAAAACCCAACAACAGCATTGATTCATTGATGTGGTTAAAATGATACTACAGACAAGGATAGCCGGTTTTTCCAGTTGCACAATAACTGGGATTTATTATATATACACAGGGATAATTAGGAGACCGAATACATTTCATTGAGGATGGCAAAGTTAAAAGTCGGTTACTTCACCTATCATCAGGGCTGCTGTTAGAAACCATGGGGCCCCATACAGCCAACCTGACAGGGCCCTCTTCTCTCCCCCAAACCCCCCTACACACACACACACATACACCCCCCCCCCCCACAGAGTTATGAATGAACACAGTGAGTGATCAGTACAAATCACTCATTGTGTTTATTCATGAAAGGAATGGGCTGGTAAACATGACATATTTACTGGACCCCTCCCCCACTCTCCTTCCAGAAGGATCCTATTGTGTTCTGA